AGGCCAAAAATTGTGCTTATTGCCCCTACAGCCGCTTCCCGGTGGGCGCCGCGCTGCTCACCGCCGGCGGGGAGATCTTCTCCGGTAAGCTGGGGCCGTACGACCCCCCCCTCTTTGGGTTTTGGGGTCCTTGCAACCCTTTGGTGGTGCAGAGGGGTGTAGAGAAAGTGGCCACGGGGTGCTGGTTGTCCTCCTGCTTCTCTGTCTGCCCCTTGGCAGCCGCCATCCCAGCGCCAGGCAAAGATCGTGGAGGGTGGGAAAATCCGGGAGGTAAATAAAGGAAGCTGGGAATAGGGTGGGGAGAGCCTGGGATTGGGCAGTGCACAGAGAAAATGCCTTTTTTTTTCCCTTTTTTTGGCAAATTCCCTGAAAATGAAACCTCCCGGAGGGAAGCTGGTGGGGTTTGTGAGTCCAGGGTCAGACCCTGCACGCAGAAAATGCCTTTTCTTTGCAAATTCCTCAAAAATTCAATCTCCCAGTGGGGTTTGTGAGTCCAGGATCAGTCTGTGCACACAGGAAAATGCCTTTTCTCTGCAAATTCCCTAAAAATTAAATCCCCCAGAGGGGTTTGTGAGTCCAGGGTCAGACCCTGCACGCAGAAAATGCCTTTTCTTTGCAAATTCCTCAAAAATTCAATCTCCCAGTGGGGTTTGTGAGTCCAGGATCAGTCTGTGCACACAGGAAAATGCCTTTTCTCTGCAAATTCCCTAAAAATTAAATCCCCCAGAGGGGTTTGTGAGTCCAGGGTCAGACCCTGCACGCAGAAAATGCCTTTTCTTTGCAAATTCCTCAAAAATTCAATCTCCCAGTGGGGTTTGTGAGTCCAGGATCAGTCTGTGCACACAGGAAAATGCCTTTTCTCTGCAAATTCCCTAAAAATTAAATCCCCCAGAGGGGTTTGTGAGTCCAGGGTCAGACCCTGCACGCAGAAAATGCCTTTTCTTTGCAAATTCCTCAAAAATTCAATCTCCCAGTGGGGTTTGTGAGTCCAGGATCAGTCTGTGCACACAGGAAAACGCCTTTTCTTTGCAAATTCCCTAAAAAAGACCCCTCTGGGAGGGAAGCTGGCAGGGTCTGGGGTGGCTGAGCGGGTGCTGGGGGGTTTGTTGCAGGGTGCAACGTGGAGAACGCCTGCTACAGCCTGGGGGTGTGCGCCGAGCGCACGGCCATCCAAAAAGCCATCTCTGAGGGGCACACCAGCTTCAAGGCCATGGCCATCACCAGGTAAGGGCGTGGAGAGCCAGGAGAGTGAGGGACGGGCTTGGGGGGCCCGTGGGAAGACCCCCCAAAGGGTTCTGCTGCGGCAGCTAGAGTGGTTTTTTGTGGGGGAGGTGGGTTTTTGCAGGGTTTCTTTTTTTCTGAGGAATGTGGGGGAAGCCTGCTGTGGCTCTGGGTTTATGGGTGTATGAAGGTCTTCTGCAGGTGTTCCCCTCCTCTGAGCTGAGGCTGAGCTCTGTGCCCTTCTTCTTTGGCAGTGACATGGGGGACAACTTCATCGTGCCCTGCGGCGCCTGCAGACAAGTGATGAGAGAGGTGAGAGCTCCCACGGGGGTCCCACGGCCTCTGAAATCATCCCCTGACCCCAGGCATCTCCCCCAGACCCCAGGCACCATCCCCTGGCCCCAGCCATCTCCCCCAAAAACACTTAGGGGTGCAAAGGGGGGTGGTGTTTGCAGCCCCCCATCCCTGGGACCAGCTCTGGGCTCCTCCAGTTGCACCATCCACTGGGAAAGGGATGGGGGAGTGGGTCCCCAGTGATGATCCATAAACTCCTGGGGGGTTTTATTCCTCCTGGGAGCTGCTGGGTGCAGAGTTTGGCCCTGGGGCTGTCACCCCAGCTCTGACACACCTGAAAATGGGAATTCTGCAAAAGCTGAGAACACCTTCTGCTCTGGCCTCCCTCCCTCCTCTCTGTGCACACCCTGGGACCCACAGCCTGGTTTTGGGTGGTTAATGTTTAACGGCTCAGGGGGCTGGGCTGGAAGGCTGGATTGGGAAGGTTTGGAAGCACTGGGGCTCACTCTGGGGGGGACAAACCCATGGGATCTGAGCCCCAAATCCCAAACCTCAAACCCCTGGGGGCTGTGGTGCTGAGAAGCCACCTTAAAATACAGGTGATAGAGAGGGGTGTTCCCTGTGAACCCAAAAGAAAAAAGGGATTAGGTGAGTAATGTAAGGAAGGAATAAATGAAGGAAGAAGGGTCTTCATCAGGCACTTCTCCCCCCTCTTCTCCTCCAGTTTGGCACGGACTGGGACGTCTACCTGACCAAGGCAGATGGCACCTACATCATGAAGAGGCTGGAGGAGAAAAAAAAGCTGCTGCCACTCTCCTTCAAGCCCGAGGACCTGAAGAAGGTGTGAGCAGCGTGGCCACTGCCAGCCTCAGCCCTCGGCAGGGGGGGAGGACAGACTCCCCCAGCTTCCCTGCCCTGGAAGCAGCTTTTTTGGGGGGGATGCTGCAATGGGAAATGCGTTTCTAAGTGTGAAGTTACCCGCTCTCCTCGCTCGTCTTCTGATTCCACGCTGATTTGCAGACCCCAGCCTCACCTCACCCTGGGGAAATGGTGAAATCCAGCCGTAGAAATTCTGGGTTTAGTAGAAAAAAAGCATCCTCACTGCAGGTGAGGGGTGAGTTCACAGACCAAGGGTTTGGTGCACGGCTCGAGCTTGGGCTCCCGGGTACAGAAATCACTCCTGAATAATGCAAAATCATTGCTTGGGAAAACGCTGGATTCTTTCAGCTGGAAATGAGAAGAGGAAGGAAAAAGGGAAAGCTCCAGCAGCCCGGGTGGGTGTTCAGGAGCCAGGTCAGGTCGGGTGACTCAGGACTGGCAGATCTCACACCCAGCGTGTCCTTTGCTCGATTCTCTCTGGCTTGTTTTATTTTGCTTTTGTTCTGTTTGTGGGGCTGAAGAGAAGGGAGAATGTGGGGCTGGAGAGGAGTTTTGGGGAGCTCCGGGGGGGTTTCCTGACCCTGGAGCTGGCCCGTTTGCACTGTTCATGTCATGCTGGGTGAATGTTTTCTGCTTCCCACCAGCGCCGGGCGTTCCTGCCCACACCCAAGAGAAATAAAATCAGCTCTGGTTTATCTCCTGCCCTGGCAAAAAGTGATGAATGGCAGGGAAGGGGAAGGGAGGCCCCGGGGCAGGATGTGACCAGGGCACTGCCCATGCCCTCCTCCTCTCCCTGGCACTGCTCAGGCTGTGCCCAGCCGTGTCCTGAGCTGTGCCCTGCCTGTACCCTGCTCCATGGACTGGACTGTGCTGTGAGCATGCAGAAGCCATGCCAGGGGTGGTGCCCTGCTCCGTGCCCTGCTGTGCACCAGCCTGTGCCATGCTCCATGCCCTGTGCCATGCACGAGGCACACCCGGCCGTGGCCAGGGCGGTGGCACGGGGCTGTACTTTGGCTGCACTCTGCTCTGTGCAGTGCCCTGGCTGTGCCCAAACCATGCCCTGCCATGCCCAGGTGGTGCTGGCACTGAGCTGTGCCCTGCCTTTGCCCCACTGAGCACCACGCCGTGCCCAAGCCACGCTCAGCCGTGCCCAGCCGTGCCCACTGCACTGGACTGCCCTGCTCTGTGCCCTGCTGTGCACTGGGCTGTGCCTTGGCCCTTTCTGGGACAGTGCCCTGCTCCATGCCGTGCCCAGGCCATGCCCAGCCGTGTCCCTGGCTGTACCCTGCTCTGTCCCCTCCCCCATGCCCCGCTCTGTGCCCTGTTGTGCACCAGCCATGCCCAGGACAGGACTCTGCCCTGTGCTCTGCTGTGCACTGGCTTGTGTCCCTCTGTGCATTGGTTTGAGCGTTGCCTGGCACCAGGCTGTGCCCTGGCTGTGCCC